GCCCAACGCCGAAATTACAATATTGATGAAAAGTTGTTCATAGGACGAATGTTTAAGCAAGGCGACGAGTTGGTTTTGCTCAAGCAATGCCAGTACAGCATAGTAATGTGATCACGACCATCACTTTAACTAGGCTAAGCTCGAGCTCAAAGAAAGAGTCGTGGGCTCACTCTCGAATTCCCTTGATGAGATGACAAAATGTCCGACAATATGTGTATTCTCAATCAGACCGCTATCCTAATCTCTTTTTCACTCATTTACAGTCCTCTATTCTCACATAACGCTGAGTATGAAGGTTAACGGAATCACCTTGTTTAGAAAACACAGCGAAATCACATCTGTAATACTGGCAAGCAAGAATGCGGGCTAAGAGTTGCTTTGTACAAAACTTGTTCAAACCTCATGGATAGGTGGCAACTCGTAACATCAAGATGAGAGTCGTCTAGCACACTTTTCTGCTCAAGTGTTCAAGCGATAAAGTCACATAGTGCTCCTCAGGCGTGTGAACTATGGATTTTTCCCTTCTCAGCAAAACGGGCATTTCCCTCACGATTCTTCGAGAGTCTCAAGTAAGCCCACAGCATTTTTAGAAGTTGACAGCACACAGCTTCTAGAAGCAAACCAGGTCTGAAGGAGGATTTTACGACTTTTCCGTAGGTCGAAGAAGAGAAAACATAGCACTAAATAATCACACTAAACTGCTTACACTGCTTTATAAGGAAGGGGAAAGGTATGCCTACCCAGTATCACATCCTTCAAACTTTTCAGACCCTTCAGATGAGCAGCTTTTATCTACTGTGAATATCGGATTTTTTGAAAGACATTGCGACCGCGCTCCATTACAAATCTGCGCCCTAATCGAAAAGTACGGTTGCGGTCACTCATCGGGGGCGGTATTCAATCCTTCCCCCAGGGGGATATATCCCCCTCCTCTGATTCAATCCTCTGGGGGGACAAAAAAGGGTTGCGTCATAGGACCACTAGTCTTCTGTGTTTCTATCTACCAGACAATGAGACAGCGCGACTACCCTCCACTGTTAGATTTACCTAGGAGTGATGACACCAGTGATGACACTGTTTTGCACCTGCGTAATGGCGTAATTGGAAGTCAAATTACTACTAACATCTTTTCAACAAATGGATATTCAGAATGCCGCTCCACTTCTTTGATGAAGCCAGCCGTCGCAGCAGGAATGTGATCTATGTCCGCCACGATCCGAGGGAGAACCTCTCGGAGAACCAATCTCTGATTCGTCAGAGATTCCGGTTCAGCGACGAACAGCTGGACTGGATCACAGACCTGCTTAGCCCAATGCTGGGCAACGACGACCAACAACCATGGGCGATCAGCAAGAGGATGCAGGTAGCTTCGATTGAGTTCGCAGACTTGGCAGTATCGGTCATCGATGGCTGTTGTTCTAGGTGTGCATAGGTATTCGTTACCTGTGCACTAATGCATTCCAAGTGGTCGTCGGCGACACCGCTGGTTGCTCTCCAGAGGAACGGTGTCCAACATCGTCGAGCGCGTTGTCGATGCTCTGGTCCATCCAGACATCGTACAACGCTTCATCAAATTTAAACCTGAGGACGAGCAGTGGTGCACAGCCCGATCCAACGAGTTCGCAAGGACCGGCCGGATGCCTAGTGAGTGGAAATCAATGAATATGCGTCAGCGGGTGGTAACGTGAATGTGATGTTTTTATAGATGTCATCGGAGCTGTGGATGGCACTCTGGTCCGGTTAAGGACACCGGCTGTTGACGGGTTTCAGTACGTGAGCAGGAAAGGAACATCTAGCCTCAACGTCTGCATCATTGCAGACGCTGTTGGCCGAATCCTGTACGTCAACAGCGGGTCCCCAGGATCGGTGCACGATTCCCACCTTTGGCGTAACTCCTCACCTGCGGCGTTCTTCAGTAGTGGAGCCGCCGTCCCAGGTTATCGCCTCCTTGGTGATAAGGGGTACGCCAATGGTGCTGGAATAATAACACCATTCCGGCCCACTGCCGTCCAAGGCGATGTGAGGAGAGCGCGGTATAACCGCGAACATCAACGCATGCGATCTATCGTGGAAATGACCATCGGTCGCCTCAAATCGCGGTTCGCCATCCTCACATCAGAAATGAGAGTGGAGCCCCAGAAGGCGTCGAAGATTGTAGTGGCTTGTGCGGTGCTGCACAATATCTCATTGCGCTTCAACGTGTCGGCTGTGAGACAGCTTGGTAGCAGAAAAGCCACAATGGCGCACCCACATCCCAACGTCGACGACGTTCGATCGTACATTGTTGAGAGGATTTAGACCTATGATTGGTGGGTAAAAAGTGTCGTTAGATTTTTAACAGATGTTTAACCCCTCATTAAAAAATACCTCCAGATTGTAGTCCGATGTACAGCGTTGTATATTGGCATTGTATGGATGGCACTCTGTGGGTTGTCCAATCCCTCTGAAGAAGCCATAGTTGAATCTGTGTTAAGAAACATTCTACACTAGAATAGACTCCATCAGGTATGCCAACTTTTTTTCAAAGTCCTTAAATTTTCTTGGTGCCTGACTGCTGTCTGGGAATGTAGAAAAGAAGCTGTCAACGTGGGGAACTTAATAGCAGTTGAAAATTCTCGATCACAAGTTATGCTTGTTCTTTTATTCTGCCCTCTTCAGTTACGACGGACCTGTGAACTGATCTAAATCATGTAAAGGCCCCTACCGAGGTAACCATAACTTTAATTACAAGCTATACATTACTGCTATAACAAGCGAAATTCAGAAATTTTGCCATCTCGAGGAAGCTGAAGAGTAGTATTGTGAAGCCGTAAAGGAGTCGAACGAAGTGAAGGAGGTCAACACAGTGAAGGGGATAAAACTACCCAATGAAGCGATAGGTTTGCAAGAGCAAAGTTTATGCGAGCCCCTATTCGATATAGCAATATCCTCAAGGATATATTACCCATATTATCGCTCCTGTCTCCCTTTTATAGACTGTAGAAATTTATACTTTTATAGACTTCAATGTTTTAGTTACTACAAGCGCTGATATCAACATCTACAGCAAATCACAAGGAAGGAGATCGAAACAGCAACATTCAACATACTGTGAGTGTTTTTTTTGTAGGTTTTGTTGTATTAACTTCATTTGTGACAGTATTTGATTTAGCCCGAACACTTGAACTCGCTGAACAATCGCCCATTCTCGGCACCACGTCCTTCGCCCCAGGCCGGCACTGATATACCGGATTTAGCTGCTTTACAGGAACTTGCTAGGCAACAGGAGGAAGGTAGTGATAGTATTTTTAGGTTTTCCTTGCTCTTTTTTGTACATTTTTGCATCTGTTACTCTAATTTTTTTTGTAGTAACCACTAAAGTATGTGAGTCTACTTATGAAGAGAAGGAGACCCTCCTAAAAATTTTTTTGCAAGTAAAGGTTGTTATTTTCATACTGAACCCGATCTTTGAGACCGTATTCTATCCTTACCTGAAGAAGTATGCGTCCCTACCCCTAATTCATTCCCCAGTTTTGGGGTGCGACGGAAAAGGGTTGCGTCATAGGACTCACCATTGATGTTGTACCTACCCTGCTCTATTGAACGCTCTATTCCCTTAGGGGTCGCGCTGCTCTCACTGTCTGGGAGGAACGCAGAGGTATGGCGGTCTTATGACGCAACTGTTTCTGTCTTCCCCAAAACTGGAGCGGGGTTTTATCAGGGGTGGGGTACACTTCTCCATGGGGAGGGATTGAATCGGCCTTGCTCTTTTCAGGAATTATTCAGTGATTTCATGAGTTGTTTCATGTCCTCTCGTGCAGAATTACAGCATTCAAATTTAATGCTTTACTTTATGTCACCTAAAAATTACGCTGTTTAGCTTTACGGCAAGCTGTAGAACGGCAGCATGGTAACGTAGAGCGCAAGCATTCATGGCAGAACGACGTGGGTTCGGTAAGTCTTTTTGATTTTTCTACATTCCCCCAAACTCTTTCGTTCTCTTCAAACTATCTAAATTGTGTTTCTAGAGAAGTATGCATTCGTCGGCTGGTTCACTTGTCTCACTTGTTACCTTGTCACTTTTGGAGGGTTTGTTCTGTTTATTTTCGTGTTTAGGTGCAGTAAATGATATCGCTTTCATGGAGTACTTTATCGTTTAGGAGTACTACTATTTCTGAATCAGTTTTTGCACCTCGAAATATGTGCACAGTTTCAACTTCAGCACGTCCAGGCCTCCTCCTTGATTGAATCTTCATGTTAGTTCTTTTTCTCTTCCCGGATTTTCTTAATTACCAAAACGTTTCCTGATCTCCATAGCCGTCCCAAAAGTTTTGTGGTACTTCAGCGAAGTGCGTGACAGTACGTAGTTAGTAGTTCCTACAACTCTAGGCAATCTCATACGTCTTATGAGCAACATGAAATGAGGTGTGCTTCCTGCTAATGATTTTTATCGTTTTGGTTTTTCTTAATTGTTGAGGCCATTTTACTCGTAGTACCAGTGTCGTGGTCTACACTCTACTTTGAGTGTATCTCTCGATCTCTACCGGAACAGTAGCTTAGGTAGAGTGGTGATTAGGGATGAAAGGCCTTCTAGTGAGGCATTCTATACATTTAGCTTTATACGTATCAAGTTCTTGGCCTTTATTCTCTTATCAATTACGTTGTCTTATGGCTTATGAATTTTTTGTAGTGCTCGCCGACGCGAGCTGATCGTTGATCTCGCGCCTCCGTCATATACACGTCCTGATGTCGCTACGCTTCCTGTATCTGTTCGAAAACTACTGTCTGACAGTGTTACATCTAGTGAACTCAGCATTGAACAGCGGAACGCAGTGCAAGCGGCAATTATATCTACTGACTTCACTTTGATAGAAGGATTTCCAGGATCAGGTTTGTAGCTTCATTCTTCAATATGGTACCTGTGATTGTGATTGGCTTAGGTCACTGCTGAGCCTGTACATTTTGTGAGAATGCATCTGATAGTGAGTAACTTTTGCGCTTTTAGGGAAGACCACTACAATCGTCGCCTTGTTACGATGCCTTCTTGAAATGAATTGCTCAGTTTTGCTAGCTACAAATACTCACTCCGCTCTCGACAATGTGCTGGCCAAGCTGAGAAAAGTAGTTTTGATAGCACTTTCCACCACCATTCTTTTGATTGAACGTCAATGAATATGTTCAGTATACGAGCGGTTCGAAGATACTTCGGCTCGGCAACTCGCCATCAGTTCGTGACAGTGTCGCCGATCTTACATTGGAGTCAAAATTGAACGGGTTCCGAAGAAGATAAGTATAAAGCAGCTAGGAATATTTTGAAGCAAACGGTTAGCTTTTTCATTTCATTTTCTGAAAGGCTGCTTGAACTTGTTGAGCAAAATTCACAGCTTTTGCTGGTTTCTGTTTCTTTCACCTTCACTTTCTTTTAGCCTCTTGTCGCCAGCACATGTCATTATGTGCCTCGAGACGTGCTATTTTCCTGGAGAAAGTTCGATTACTGTATCATTGATGAAGCATCTATGGTAAGTTATTGATCAGCTAAGGATGATTCAATTTTTTGGTAGCAATTCTTTTGATTTATGAGTTCTCACCTATGCGTGGTGAAAACTGTACCAGTTTGAAATGTGTTGAGATAATTGGACTAACACTAGCGAATCCTTTTGCTCAAACGGTGACGGCTGGTACATTCAAATTCCCATCTATTCCTCTTGTTCCGTCCTCTTTTGTCACTTTTACATTTCGACTTTTCATAGTACAACAACACACTTCGGGCTCAGAGAATTTTATTCGTTTCTAGGTGTTGGAGCCGGTCCCGCTGTCTGCTGAAGCTGCTGCCAGTCGCTTTGTTCTTGTCGGCGATGCGCATCAGTTGTCACCTCTCGTCCAAAACAGAAAATGCTCGTCAGTGTCAACATTCTTCAAAAATTTTCTATTTTTACCTCACGACTTAAGAACAACATTCCAGAGAAGAGGGGGAAGTCTATTTCTTTGTTTGAATGTCTCCAAGTGCACAAAGAGGCTACACATTGGCCGGACGCATAGTCGGTCGGACGACAGCAACGACTGCAAGTGTCGCAGATCGATACGCACCCAATGCTGTGCGACACTTGCAGTCGTTGCTGTCGTCCGACCGACTATGCGTCCGGCCATTCTTTGGAGTCGCAATATGGAATGAATAGGTACTCCAGGCTACACATTTAATATTTTTTGAAGTGATAGTATTTTTGTATTTCAGCACGATCGCAAAGCTAAGCAGCAATTTATTCTATGGAAGCCGCCTTGTGTGCGCCAATGAGAAAGTCGCTCAGGCATGCCTTGCAAAATCTGCGGACTTCAAGACCTCGAGTCGCGACGGTGTGTTGTAGTCATATACTTGCTGTTAAAATCTAACGTACTATAATAGTTTGGGAGCAGCATCTTCATTTTGACAACCGAAGATTCAACTCTCGAGGCTGAATGGATTTATAGATAAAATATTCTACAGCTATGAGATGGTTTTCTTTGCATATGTTGTTTTTTTTCAGACAAGCATACCATTCTAATCATAGCGACTTCACAAGTCCATCGTCAAGCAGTAAAAGAGGCGTACGCGATAGCCGGCCAAATTATCGCGCACCATCAGGCCAGGTAAATTGCTACGTTTTCTTTGATATACATGAAGTTTAGAAAGGTCTTGAATATCATGGTTTGAAGATTTTGTGTGTGCATTCAGTAATACTGCGAGTGTAGAAGCACATCGTAGCATTTTTTCCGGTCTTCATGTTAACAAACAAAAGGTTCTTTTCAGGCTCAAATAAATAAGAACGAGCGGTCATCAATGCGAGCCGAAGGGGGACAGCGGCGAAATGTTGGTAATCGGCGAAGAAACGATTCTATTAACAGCACTCAAAGCGAATGCCTACCGCAGACATCGGTATGTTATGACACTGTTCTGTTTGATTTTCCGCGTAGCGCACTGCTACAAGGCGCAGTCATTTGTAGACGACTGCATCATTTCACTAATTCGATCATTGGTCGGAGTCGGGATAACATTATTGCAGTTGGGTGTTAATTTGTTTCGAAACAATCTGTGGCTCAGGGTATAAGGAAGGGATTGCTCAAGTGATTCAGATAATATTCCAACCTGCTGCTTTAGGATAGACTCCACATTGACACGAATGTTGAGACGAGAAGTGTCGCCGGTGATGCAGTATAGTGGAAGAAGAGTTTGATGAATCCTGTGAACCTTCGAGTGGAGAATGCACACCAACTGAGGAAAGCGGAGACGAAAAACACTGGAACAGTCGAAGTAGTGATTGTTTCCACTTTCGTTTTCCTTTTTGCTTTTAGTTATGGTCATTTCTATTTTTCCGTTTCATAAGTCCGCATGAATGTTGGTTTGCCATCATTCCGTTGAATTTCAGGAACACCACAGCTGATTAAATCCAGCGCTGGATACAGTGGTGGTGATGACGTTCACAAAGAGAATAGAGGTGGTCGTCCTGATGGGCCGAGTCACAGTTGATCGATCACGAAGGGAACCGAATGCAACGGAGGCCATACCGCTTGCGTCGCGTACCACTCGAGTTCCCGTGCGAAACGAGCCGAGGAAGGACGTACAAACCACCAGCGATGCGATGTATGTTTTGTGAACCAGTAGAAAACAAAAAAGAGGACTATTACTCTTTCAATTTTCAAGTTAATTGATTTTTTTTCTGATTTCAACTCTTTTCAGGATTTACACCTTGATTTCCCCTCTATATGGGTGCCTCCAATGAGCTTCATCTTCTTCGTCATTTTGGTATACTTGTCATAATTTTGTAGTTAGATATGGCCATATGTGATTTTTAGTCCTTTTAGATTTTTTTGACCTAGATAGGTTTACTGTATATTACTGCTTATGCGCGATGACTGATATTGATATTGATCTGATGATGATGAGATATTGACCGTAGTACGAGTTTTAGAGTATCAGTTAACCTATCAGTTCCTTCAAATCGACTATGAGGTGTTCTTTCACCTGTGTACATTGCTCTCACTATTTATGATGTAGTGGCCTCGTTTCCTGTAGTGAGGGTCATGCTTTACTGCATAGGATTACTGTAGATAGGTGTTTATTATCAGTTTGTTTGACTTGTAGAAATACCTTGCTTCACTTTTCTGCCTTTTTGCCAGTATTCAGCCAAAAATTGTGATTCTTTTTTTTTGGCACAAAAATCAATGAACAATAAAGCTGAGCAATACATACAATTCTTTTCTCGGTTACTCTTAGGGTATTGATTTTGGATACTACTACGGAACTAGTAATCATCGCTACAAAATATCAAAGATGGTAGTAAACCGTGACAATTTGTAGAACTTAGCCACCGTCGTGATACTCAAACGGTAAATTTGGGCCCACACCTGATGATTTTTTAGACGGCTGCTTGGAACTAACATTGTGCTTGGGACCAGACACAAAATAACACTAAACATCCCGGAAATACCTCCTCTAGCTGTGAAGGCCCATTCAACGATTTTCTTTGTATCATTCCTTTCCCAAATAAATTGCCAAGTTATTTGCCGGCGGCTTCATTTCCGAGCGTAGTGCCTTCGAACTACGGATTCTTCCACATATTTGGCTATGAGCTTGTGATACCAGTCAGATTTGCGCTCATTACTTGCAATACTTAGTCATCCAATGAGTACCACAATATTGTTCAGAACACGAACATGCTCATCTTTCTCGTTCTTGTGCACTTGCGGACAGAATGTTTTATTTCACGTCGACGGAATCGTTCCAAGATTTATCCGCGTTCCATTTTACAATAGTCAACAGTTTTCAAGAGTAAGACGTATCCGACTGCTTAGAATAGATGTACAGTAGCGGTCAAAAGTGTTCGCCGAAACGGTTTTTCGTGCTTCTCTTTTTTTGCCAGAAAAAATCAATGGTGGCCTCGAAATTTTTTCTTTGAATATCCTGATTCTTTAAGACTTGAGGATATAAAAACACTAGAAAACATAGTATATCAATCTTTGGAGGGCGTTGCTCAAGCGAGAAAAAATAATGCACTAAAAATCGTTTCGGCGAACACTTTTGACCGCTACTGTATGTATGTATGCCATGTATGTTGACCTCGCATACAGATCCGGATGTGTGAATGAAAAATCATTTGTGAATATAACCAACACAATTATTTATTGCGAAATTGCGACCATTGCGAAATTGTGGCTTATGTCACTAGCTCCTCTCCATTTTGAAAGAATGGCTTCTTTATCGCTCGCAAACGTCGGAGAGGGTCGCATGGAGTGGAGAAAACCGGTTGTAGAAGTAGTAGCACCAACTCGTTTGCCAGTAATGGAACGAACACCTACAACGCATGATTAAAGCATGATGATAATAATTCGACCTCCACCTCAACGACGTTTCTATCATGTTCTAATCTAATTCTAATTGAATGAAATATGGTATAAACCGAAGAAATCAATGAAACTGAGTCCATACACTTACTAGAATCAGCAAAAATTTGATAAAGAACCAATACTGACCGTGTTTACATCGTTCTTCACACAATTGTTGAAACAATTGTTCCTTCGCGGAGCGACGGCTCTATGTTAGGGTCACAGATTACAACACATTCTGCCGCCGTGGTTGCTTCAGCAGGTCTTCCTGGCGTGGAACATCTCTGAACAAGTACTACCTATGCCGTCTTGTTGGAAGCAGCGTTTTCACGTACTTTGAAAAAGGCCATCATTTCTTCGAGGATTACTCGCTGAGAAGATATAAGTTCTCTAATGCCATTCATATGGACAACGACCATGTGGGTCCATGTGTCGAACAATTTTTTTTCGCTCTGAAATTTGATGTATCATCGAAGAACACAACAATTTGATGAAACTAGATTCCAACTTCCAGCATTTCTTTCTGCAAAAGCCTTATCTCAGCTGCCGATACGCTGTTCCTTTTGGGGAACCTAACCTTATCGTCGGAATTGAATACTTCTTCATCTACTTCGACCTTAAGTATTCTACTGTGAGAGATAGTTAGATAGAAGAAGTATAAGGTAAATGTACCTCACACGCAGATGCTTTGTTTTTTTCCATTTCAATTGCTTTTCCTATCCTTATGATACCTTCCTTTGATTGGTCAGGCTCTCTTATTAGTATTTCTTCATCTTCATCGTCCTGGTCTTCCATATCTAGATCTTTGAGGTTCTCTTCTTGCTTTTCACTATGAGGGGCCTTTGAAAGTCTCCATTATGCTATCCTTTTTGTACGCCGCGGTTCCGGAATAGTATCTATAGATGTCGCGATCCTGATCGTTCAAGGTTTCCCTCGCCTCATGTATAAGTCTTTCCAACTTTTCTTCACGTCCTGTCCCCGTCTTTTCACGGTACCTAAGCAGTGAGCTGTCAGCATATGAACGAGAGTCGTTTGATTCGAGTTTTCCATGTCACACTCACCTTTTTTCAATAACGTCAGGGGTCATTACTCTTTTTCGTCTATTGTTAAAATGCGTTTGGACTTGTTGTCCTGTTAGCCTCATGCCGAATTTACTCCATATGTCGCAGCCTATAGAGTTCCACAAATCTTTTCTGATCGCGTTCGGATTTCATCATACGACTCTTACACCCCCTCAAAAGGAGATCGTCGTTCTTCATCACTTTTGAAACGTTTTCGCTACTTATGTTCGCCCTCTTCTAGAATACTGTCCCATGGTGTGGAGTCCCTATACGCGCAACATTGTTGAATTTATTGAGAACGTCCAGTCTAAATTCACTGAAAGAATTTTTGCTCGCCAAGGTATTTTCCATATGTCTTATAAGGATAGACTTCGCCATCTAAACGAGAACTCTCTAGAAATGAGGAGAAAATTATCTGATTACGACTTTGTTTATAGGCTTTCCGCTGGGCAGGTAGATTTGAATTTTGATGCGCTTTTCAAAAAGTCAACAACAATTGGCCGTACTAGAGGGCATAGCTATAGACTCTTGAGAGAGAGAAAACAAACTCTGCTGAATTTCGAAGTTCATTCACACAAAGGATTATTACTTTTTGGAACGATTTGCCACCATCTGTTGTGCGCTCTAGTTCTGCAAGTTCTTTTAGGAAGAAAGTTAAAAAAATTATGGCTTCTCGAGGTTGGTTTTAAGAGCAAGAAACTGAACTAATTTGAATTTGTGAGGCACAGAAGCGATTAATTCGGTTTTACCTGAATTACCTGAGTTGTTATGATTTGGAGACTTTATGCTCTATTTTGTTTGTTTATGTTTTATGTTTGTTTCTAACATACTGCCTTTTTATTCCCTTTTTTTGGCCTGCGACGCTGGGAGTTGGATTTCGGTAGGTTGGCGGACCTACTAAGCTGGTATCCGGAGTTCTATGTCGTCGCTCCCACATGAGCTTGCAGTGTTGGCGGCCACTGCCCTTCTTACCGATTCTCCGCTCCCATGCAGCTTCAAACCTTCTGCTCCATTTAGTTTTCTTTAGGCTTTTTTCCTATTTATCGGTGACTTGTTTCTGTTTTTTCTTTCCTGGTGTTGTGTTCTAACATATGATATCCGATAATAAATCATGAAATCATGAAGCACGATGTGAAACACGGTTCAGGTATTGGTTCTTTATCAAATTTTTGCTGATTCTAGTAAGTGTATGGACTCAGTTTCATTGATTTCTTCGGTTTATACCATATTTCATTCAATTAGAATTAGATTAGAACATGATAGAAACGTCGTTGAGGTGGAGGTCGAATTATTATCATCATGCTTTAATCATGCGTTGTAGGTGTTCGTTCCATTACTGGCAAACGAGTTGGTGCTACTACTTCTACAACCGGTTTTCTCCACTCCATGCGACCCTCTCCGACGTTTGCGAGCGATAAAGAAGCCATTCTTTCAAAATGGAGAGGAGCTAGTGACATAAGCCACAATTTCGCAATTGGCTCGCATTTCGCAATAAATAAGTTGGTGTTGGTTATATCACAAATGACTTTTTCACTTACACTGAATCCGGATTCTGTATGCAAGGGTCAACATACATGGCATACATACATACAGTAGCGGTCAAAAGTGTTCGCGGAAACAATTTTTAGTGCATTATTTTCTCTCCCTTGAGCGACGTCCCTCCAAAGATTGATATACTATGTTTTCTAGTGTTTTTATATCCTCAAGCCTTGAAGAATCAGGATGTTCAAGAAAAAATTTTTCCAAGGCCACCACTGAATTTTCTCTGGTTAAAAAAGAAAAGCACGGGAAATTGTTTCGGCGAACACTTTTGACCGCTACTGTACATCTATTCTAAGCAGTCGGATACGTCTTACTCTTGAAAACTGTTGACTATTGTGTATTGGAACGCGATAAATCGTGGAACGATTCCGTCGACGTGAATTAAAACATTCTGTCCGCAACTGCACAAGAACGAGAAAGATGAGCATGTTCGTGTTCTGAACAATATTGTGGTACTCATTGGATGACTAAGTATTGCAAGTAATGAGCGCAAATCTGACTGGTATCACAAGCTCATAGCCAAATATGTGGAAGAATCCGTAGTTCGAAGGCACTACGCTCGGAAATGAAGCCGCCGGCAAATAACTTGGCAATTTATTTGGGAAAGGAATGATACAAAGAAAATCGTTGAATGGGCCTTCACAGCTAGAGGAGGTATTTCCGGGATGTTTAGTGTTAGTTTGCGTCTGGTCCCAAGCAGCCGTCTAAAAAATCGATCCAGGTGTGGGCCAAATTCTCCTTTTTAAAATTTTTTTTTTTTCTTCTTTCTTTTTTTCTTTTTCTTTTTTTTTCTTTTTCTTTTTTTTTCTTTTTTTTTTCTTTTTCTTTTTTTTTTTTTTTTTTTTTTTTTCCTTTTTTTTTCTTTTTCTTTTTTTTTTTTCCTTTTTTTTCTTTTTTTTTTCCTTTCTCTCTTATCGAAACGCATTCATACAGCCGGTGTCCTTAACCGGACCAGAGTGCCATCCACAGCTCCGATGACATCTATAAAAACATCACATTCACGTTACCACCCGCTGACGCATATTCATTGATTTCCACTCACTAGGCATCCGGCCGGTCCTTGCGAACTCGTTGGATCGGGCTGTGCACCACTGCTCGTCCTACAAGGTTTAAATTTTGCTGGAGGTTGTACGATGTCTGGATGGGCCAGAGCATCGACAACGCGCTCGACGATGTTCAACACCGTCCTCTGAGAGCAACCAGCGGTGTCGCCGACGACCACTTGGAATGCATTAGTGCACAGGTAACGAATACCTATGCACACCTAGAACAACAGCCATCGATGACCGATACTGCCAAGTCTGCGAACTCAATCGAAGCTACCTGCATCCTCTTGCTGATCGCCCATGGTTGTTGGTCGTCGTTGCCCAGCATTGGCTAACAGGTCTGTGATCCAGTCCAGCTGTTCGTCGCTGAACCGGAATCTCTGACGAATCAGAGATTGGTTCTCCGAGAGGTTCTCCCTCGGATCGTGGCGGACATAGATCACATTCCTGCTGCGACGGCTGGCTT